TCAGGGTCCTTGTCAAGTCTTTTGACGGGAGTTAGGACGAGGCGATTTATCGGGTAAGTGTACGTTACCCAGTTGTGGAAGTAAACTTATCTATTCGCACCCTTACCTGGTGTGGTAAGCGTAGGGGGAGGTTCCTTTAAGTTAGAGAGGGATGAAGTGAGGGGAGGTTATGTGTAGGTTTCACAATCTCACTGCGCGTCCTAAGATTCCTGGATCTTATGTTCCTAAGTACCTAGAGTTCAAGCCTAGTGTCCTAAAGTCCGGTCTTAAGAGTCTTATCCTAGGGTCAAACTTAAGCTCTGATACCAACTGTAACACCCCAGATTTTTAAGACATTTAAAACTTATAATAAAGGTAGAATCTTATTAAATCCCAAGATATAAATACAAGCGTTCGGGGTGCTATACCACACCTGGGCTAGAGAACCCAAGTGCACAGGCTAACTAACTAATATCCTCAAAGCGTAAATACGTAAACGTGGCACGCAGGGCAAAAGGGAAACTATCTATTTCTAAGTTCTAGCGCACTCCAGTGACTTAATCTTCTGTGCCTGAAAGCCAAATATATCTGTTCAGCGAGAGATGCTGGTAACCCGCTCCAACGCGTTGAAATACAATACATATAGAGATATATATAGATATACGAAAACCATTTTGAGCATGAAGATATATCCTACGAACTCTAGCTTTAAAACCGGGAATGACTCGACATATAAGGCCAGACACAAGCAACAGTTATAACGAGCATATGCAGTTCACAACAGATGAGGCAGATAAGGCAAAGCATAAACAATGATCATAACCCAACATGAACAATCCCCAATATAAATCCCATAGTCACATCCCCCAAGACACTCGTAATCACAACTCGTCCATGTCACACACATAACACACTTTGTTGGCGCCACAGGACCAATCGCATGCCCATACATGAGGGTCAGCGCATATAGCTCTGACACGGCCCTGCAGCACCCTGCCCCGTATCGCAACACGGAGGGGTCGATCGCAACCGACCGATGAACCGCAGCTAATCATAGTGTTTGATCGCAACCAAACAGTGGACCGCAGCCCAAGAGAATGTCATCTGACCGCAGCCAGGAAAAAGGACGAACCGCAGCTCGTATAGAAACGTTTGATCGCAACCAAACGGTGGACCGCAGCCCAAGAGTATCAATCTGACCGCAGCCAGCTTCTGAACCGCAGCTCAGGATAACCAATCCGATCGCAACCGAATTGGGGTAACACACACATAACACATAGCAAGCACATGCAACCCACATTACACATTAGGAAGGGGGAGAAAACGTATAACAAAACCTATGCGTGATCCATCACTTACTAAGAATAGTCCTAAGGGGTTCATACTTCTTCCACCTAGGTCAACGGGATACCAATTCAACTAGCATGCAATGTAATAGACTCATAAACCTACGAACGGTACCCGAAACATCAAACTAGACATAGGCACGATAAACGGAGTCCGTTGGGACACCACGGGGAACGGGGAACATCAAACGGGGAAGCCGGGATCCCAAGTTGGGGGAATTTCCAGCGGGTAACCGGTGGGTGGTGGGCCACCCGCCGGCCTGCCCGCCGGAATGTACTGTTCCGGGCAGCGGGTCGCCGGCGGGCAGCTGCCCGCCCGCCGGCCACCCGCTGCCAGGCGGTAATTCTCGGCACTGGGTTGGTGGCGGGTCCCCTACCCCCCACCTACCCCCCACTGACCCTTTTTCATCCATTGCGCCCCGGGAACCGTTGTGGAACCCGAAACCATGCTTAGACACTTTACAACGCAATTAACGACAACACGTAGACAATTAACGGATCAATTACGAGAAACGAACGACACATAACCTATCATGCTCTTCTAAATATAATCACGCCCAAACATGCGATTTCCCCACCCGATAATCCAAGAATAAGATCATACGATACAACCTAGGGTTCTAATCACTTTTATATCAACAAGAATACGGTTCGTCTTCTAATTGCAAGATTCGGTAAGAATAACACATAAACATCAAGAGCATCACATAATTATCAAGAACAACACATAATCATCAAGAACTCCATATAATCATCAAGAATCTCCCAATATCAAGATTATCAAGATCCCCCATGGGATCATCACATCAATTACCAATAATAATCATCATAACTCGCCAATATACAATAATACGGGGGAAACCCTAAGGGGGAATTATAACTATGAAAATAGGTTTTGTTGAGACATGGGTTACCTCTTAGCCTTAATTAATTCCTTGGCTATGAAGGGTCTTTCTTTAAGCTTTCTTGATTTCTTCTAAGGGGATTCTTGGAGCACTTTGGGGTGGTGGAACGTTTATTGTGGTGGGGGGTTCTAGGTGCCTCTTAAGTCCCCTATTTATATATTTAGGAGTCTTGGTTAGGAACTAATATTATAGGCTTGCTAATTCTATTCCTTTTGGAACTAAGGATTGGGTTTAGGGATAAGGGTCCATGGTCCATAGTGGACCATATTAATTAATTAAAGGGAATCCTAATCGTAGTCTGAATAGTAAAAGGCCTACTTCTTTTATTCCTAATAGATAAATAGGTCTAGGATTCCTAATTAGAATCTGAATAGTAAAGGGTTTACTTTCTTTATTCCTAATAGGCTTAGGACTCTAATTTAGGCAAGGGTCCACGGTTCATGGTGGACCTTTATTAATTAATTAAAGGAAACCTAACCGAATTAAATCATATTTAATTATTATTAACGGGATTAATTTAATAATTAATCCGGGATTGAAGGCCGTAACACGGGGTGTTACACCTAAGACTTTTGAGGAATTATCTAGTCGCGCCCACGATATGGAGTTAAGCATAACAGCTAATGGTGGACAAAACATACCCATTCAAAGCTTCTACAATGGGGGCAAGAGTCATGATGACGTTGAAAATGGCGGCAAGGCCTTTAAGAAATATGAAAGCATGGACGCTATGCATGTGAATATTCAACCAGCTAGGATATTCACTGAAGCTACTAGTGAGTCTAAGGATGCTTCTAAATCATTACGGGGTAGTAGAAAGCTCTCTTTCAGGGAAAGACAAAACAAGCAGTATCCATTTTTGGATTCTGATATCCCACATATGTTTGATGAGCTACTAAAGCACAATCTCGTTGATTTGCCAGAAATGAGGCGACCACACGAGGCTTTAATGATGGATCATCCGAGTTATTGCAAGTTTCATAGACTTGTCGGACATCCAATTAAAAATTGCTTTGTCTTTAAGGATAAAGTAATGGAGTTAGCTCGAGATGGGAGAAATAAACTTGCAGATGCCACAGCAAGCGCTAATCAATTTTCCATCTCATGCGGTAAATCTACTTCGCTACTCATTGAGAGGAACAATGTGAAGGGAAATAGAAAACGACACAAGTGTTTATTCCCTCTTAACATCAAGTCTTATGATACCAAACCCGAGTATGGTACTTGGCATGGTATTAAGCATGCTAAACAACACCACGTTGATGATTCGACACGACCATCTAAGCAAGTTATGAAAAGGTGGGTCAAGAAAAGAATGTTATAGGGCTCTATTGATAGGAGGACTTGCGGCCACCATATGAAAGCACGAGTTCTAGTCACATTGGCGGATTACGTGCCAAAGCGGTTCCATATTACTCAAACTAACCAAGGAATGAAGATGAAAATTCCTCTAATAAACCCATATGCTAGAGAAGAATGTGCCTCAACACATTATACCACAATATGTGATGGAGGAAATATTCTTCAAGCTTCTTCAATGTGAATTGAAAACGCTCATATTACTTCAAGACTCCCCGGCACGAGTCAAAACTGCCTCATATTACTTCAAGGCTCCCCGGCACGAGTCGAAACTGCCTCATATCCCACAAGGCTCCTTGGCACGAGTTGAAATGGCCTTATAGTTTCGAGACTTCCATGCACTACATACTTTCAAGCAATGTATGCTCTCAAGTGGCATGTCCAAGAAATTCTCGAGGGGGCAATTTGTAGACACAGAAAATTTGAAGCCGACAAGTGGACCGATTAAATCATTATCGAGCCCAATTTCAGGGTTGGTCATTAGTCCAATTTAATTAATTGGGCTATGATAATTAAATTAATTTAATTAGTCCAAGTAAATTTGATTTGGGCTATTGAATTAAGTAATTAATTGGTCCAAGCCCATTTCATAATTGAATTATAATTATAATTATAATTTAAATATAATATGATTTTATTATATTTGAATTAGATAATTATAATTTAATTTGAATTTGAATTAGATGATAGAATAATGAACCTAGACTTGATTTTGGCAAGGTTCATTTTAGTAGATAATTAATTAATTTAATTTAATAAAAATTAATGGAGTTTGTTGAGGGATTTTAGTTACAAACTTCACTATAAATAGAGCCTCAATTCCATTCTTCAAATCACACCTTAAATACATTGAGAACAATTTGAAGACTTGAGAGCTTGAAGGCATTGCAGAACGCTTAACAACTTGAAGGCTTGAAGATTTGAGAGCTCTTTTGAAGGCATTTGAAGATCTTGAAGAATTAAAGGCATTGAAGGCATTTTTTTTACAGGTTTTAAAGATCTTGAAGCAACTTGAAGCCTTTTTGTAGGTACTTTGAAGATCTTGGAGCCTTTTGAAGGCAACTTGAAGCCATTGCAGGCGCTTTAATTAATGTTTTGCAGAGTTAATTGCTTCGGAGCTTGATGTTTTGCTGTTGAAGATCACACCAATTGAATCCCGGAAGCTACGCCACTTGAATCCCGGAGGCACGCGCCAATTGAATCTCAGAGGCTACGCTATTTGAATCCCGGAGGCACTTCCATAGATAACGTCAGTGAAGAATCAGAGGACTAGACAGAGATTTTGTACCTGCACTTTGACTTATACACACGCTGTACACGAAATTTTCGGAATATATACAAAGTTTACTTTTTGTGTTTACACACTGGTCTTCCTTCTTGTCTTGGGATGTTATTGTTTCTTAAAAACTTGCATTTCCCTTGCTAATTTTGGACCAACGTATCACCGGCTGCCAAAACTGTTTCCTGGCCATGTTGATGTGGAATTGCTTTCCTGCTACAATTGTCATCATTGTTACCATATATGTCTTTGTTTTCTGTGGTATTGCATATGGTTTGTTTCTTGCTACCACAAGTGTACATAAGAGTTGGCACAGGCACTATCAAATCCTCATGAAACGGGATCTTACCAAGGTTTAATACGAGTGTAAATTTTTTCAAAAGACGTATCATAGTCCATTTAAATAATGTTATTTTTATTTCAATTCTTTCTCTTAAATGTTACAGGTGTACATAGTGGTGGATCAACGTGGCCATTATACCCCACCAACACTAGATCCGAGACATGAACAACACCTTCGATCTCTTCATCTATTGTAGAGGGTAGGTGATATTCGACGGCCCCAAATACCTTACACATATATAGCTTCTGAAGTCATTTGTATGCATGCTTTTTGTGGATGTTGCTCACCATTGTATATATATTTTAATCCCAATGAAATAAATTATTTCTTCATTGTGTAACCTTATTTTACAATACAACTATATTGAATATATATACCAACTCATCGTATGGTTTCCTTATTTCTAGATTATATACCATGAGTTGTTTTCCTTTGACAACATAACCTCTTAATAATATGTAGTAAATAGAAAGATTGTGATCGAGAAAGAAGCAAAAACCAACAACACCCACCGGCCACCACCTATGATGATGCCTTTTAATGACAACTTAATTTGTCTTCAATAGACTCTGCATTTTCCTAATCAGCTATAAGTGTCGTAATTTTGACATATTAAATAGGAAGATGCTCATTAAGATTGCTAAATTGTGTCTATTCCAAAATTAATTTTAAATGCTTTATTCAACGAAATAATAACAATGAGCTAGCATGGCTATTCTAGCTATAAACTAGATTGCAATCCCGGTGATGCCTACCATCTTATTTTTAATTCATAGTATTGTTTACTTTATTGATAATCATTTTATTGCTTTTACTTAACCATTTTTTATATTTTATTATTATAACGAAGTAGCAATTGGTAGTCGTTGATGTTGGTGTTGGTGGTGTTAAAAGTTTTTTTTTTTTTTTTTTTTTTTTTTTTTTTTTTTTTTTGAGAAAATAAATTATATAGAGACACACACAACATACAATTCAAATATCTGGTTCTCATTTCCTTCCAACATATATAATCCAATTCAAACCAACAATAATATCAAAAGTATATTTAACTAATAATCCATTCTATCCTTCAATAATATAAATATCCATATTACAACATAGTTTTAGAAATGGCATCTCCATCTGTAGGAGTTCAGCTGGTGCAAATCCCAACCCCATGTTATGTTCCCGCTCTATCTGTAGTAGTGAGTCATTGTTGCAGAATCTGACTTGAAAACGACATCAAAGAAGTTATTGAAAAATTGATTGAATATCATATTGCATTTGCTCGAGTACTTGTCTTATACATCCTTATCATATATCCCAACTCTTCTCTTACTCGCAGGCGCCGAACTCATAGCTCCTCGCCTCTGCAAAAGCATGTAGGACTTCGTCCACAAGGAATGCTTAAACCACTGGAGAGCTATAAAAGTGAACAATTTCTATTCATACATATGGGACCCGGAACAAAGCAGTGGTAGGGTGCAATAGCCCGCACACTGCCAATCACGGTTGCACACTTCCATGGGACAAACAACGAAACGTGCAATTCACGTGCACATCGTGTGCATGTGTTTTTGAGATGTCATACAAGGATGTAGGGGAAAGTGGCATGGGGTGGGGCGTTAACTACTCCTCCAATTACACATAGTGGTGGATCAGCATGACCATTATTCCTTGCTAGCACTAGATCCTAGACATGAACAACAACTTCAAACTCTAAATCCTTTGTAGATGGAGTTATTATTTGAAGGCTTCAAATACCTTGCAAATAGCTTATTTCATTTGTATGGTTTTTTTTTGGGTTTTTGGTGACCATTGTATATTTTAATCATTCATCTAGTGAACTCAATTATATTTCAATGATATTTCTTTCACTATAGGCGTATGTTTCTTCAAGAAACTCATAAAATTTGGTGAAGAAATTTGCCAGGCAAATTGTGCATCAATTGGACCATGTTTTTGGCAAAAAAATAAAAAATAAAAAATAAATTAGTGGGAAACTAATCTAAATGATCCAAATTTCGTGGCTTAGCTTGAGATAAATCAAATGAAGCTAAACTCATGCCATTAAGGCAAATAAATCCTCATTTAGTATAGTTTTAATGTTATTCATTTTCTTTATTTACTTTATTTTAGGTTACATATATGCATGTTTAGGAGAAATGAATGTCATTCATTGCCTTGTAATGGATTCCTTTGATCTCATTGAGAGTGTTGTATTTTAGCCTATTTAAAGGCTGAACACAAGGAGGGAAGGAGATAGATGATTGAAGTTGAATCCAAAAAAAAAAAAAAAATGTTTAGGCATTTTATTGTCTCTCTTATATGTTGAGAGATGTTCTTCTAGACGTATGAAGATAATCACCAATCTTGTGGTGTCATCCATTCCTCATCATCTAAGACCAAGGTGTGACGGAAATATCGTTATAAGAAAACACAAAAAATCCTCTTCCCAAACCCAGCCAAATTCCATCTCCAACCTCTCAAACCGTATTTCTTGTTCATGTTGATTTTGTGAGGAAAAGATCGAGCATTCAAAGAATTCTTTGGCGAATCAATTCTCCCGTTCATCCCCAAAGATCCGTATCAGTTTGGTATCAGAGCACACGGTTTATTCCTCACAAAAAAATCAGGTCACGAAAAACACTCCTTTCTTTAATGTATGCTCAATTCAATTTCTATCAAAAAATTTTAAACTGCACAGTTTGAAACAAAAATTCAAAAACAAATACTTCCACATATCTGATTGCATTGAAATTTTATTTAGAAGTAGCCAACCTACCATTCTATTGTTTCATCAAAGTTTTGTGTAGAAATCATACTCCTAGAAACACAAAAAAATTCTTTGAATTCAACACAACCATAAGATTTTTCCCAAAAAATTGTCTTCATGTACAGTTCAAAAGAAAATTTTAAGAAAAATACTTCCACTTATCTTTTTGCCTTAAAACTTTTTATGGTTGAACCCAACTCATAGTTCCTGCTAACCATAATAAAATTTGGGTCAAAATATCATTTGAAACACGTCAAATTATTTTTTTTTTTCAAAATCACTCTAAAAGAACTATCCAGATTTTTTTTTCTTTTTTTATACCCTTCCATGTGCTTTCTAGTATTGTGATCATTGATTCTACTCTTTCATGGAGTCTTTTGAGTTAAATACACTTCAACAAGGATCACTCACTGTGGAAGAATTCTACAACAAGTTAAGAGATTTGATGATTCAAGATGGGATGATTGAGAAAGTTGTAATTACCAAGAATAGATTTGTGTATGGTGCTAAAAAAGAAATTGCACAATTGCTTCCTCACCGGTGCAAGTGGTTGCTTGTTTACTTTGCTATACCATGCCAAACAAATTGAAGAAAGATTGCAACAAAAATAAATTGAGAATTCGACGTCTATTTCCTTGTCATATGATGAGAGCTCAAAAGAAATGATTGAATATGTAAACATGTGTGAACAAGAATGTGCAAACAAATATCAGGAATGTTGAGTGAAAAGGAAGAAGAGATTGAGAAAAAAGGTGAAAATAAGGAAGTAGAATTGTGTTTTGAACCTTGCAGGAAAAAGAATGAGAGAGAAGATTTTGAGAACCATATAACCCCTATTTTAAGTTCATTGCAGGGTTCATGGATGTGATTCAATTGTTGAGAATAGGTTGGAAGGGATGACAAAATGGCATCAAAATTTAAATGCATTTGGGCTGTTGTTGTGCGAAGTTCAAAGAGGCAGGGGTTCACTCACTTTCTCTAATGAAGATATTCAATTAATACGGTTGGAAATTTACTCATTTTCATTTGACTGTGCCAAGTGTGATTCGAGGACGAATCTTCTCAAAGAGTAAGGGAATGATGAGGACACACCCATAGCATTTAAAAATTCTAATAAAACAAGTGCATTTAAAATTAAAAAAAAAAAAAAAGCTGAGGGGACAATTTAATTGTGCCATACAATACCAAGAAACTCAAAAAATTAAGGCATGTGCAAAATTAAGAAATTTGCCAGGCTGATTGTGCATCAAGTGGATCGCTGTCCCAAAGACACCATTTGAGTTATTTAAAGGTTGGAAACCGAGTTTGCAACATATGCGTATTTGGGGATGCCCGTCTGAGGTGAGGATATATAACCCACAAGAAAAGAAGTTGGACCCGAAGACTATTAGTGGTTTCTTTATTGGATACGCACAGTCCTCCAAGGGGTACATATTTTATTGTCTATCTCATTCAACTAGGATTGTGGAATCAAGAAATGCTAAGTTTCTTGAAGATGACATGATTAGTGGGAGGGATTGGTTCAATGATTTGATTTCTAATCATGATCGTAATGAATCATATCCTTCTACGTCATCAGATAGGTTGATAATAGTTTCAAGCACCCCTCAAGTTCAAATGGGTATTGAACAACCTATTGAAGAAGTTCCATAAAATGCTGATATTATTCCAGTAGATCAACCAATTCAGGAAATTCCTGAAGCGGTAGTTGAACCGCTAACTTCTCAAAAAGATGGTAGTTTAACTTTGAGGCGATCTACTCGCGCAAAAAAGACCGACAATTCCTAGTGATTATATAGTGTATCAGCAAGAGTCTGATGTTGGAGCTGAAAATGATCCAGAAACATTTTCACAAGCCATAAACTGTAAAGAGTCAGATTTATGGTATGAAGCCATGAAGGAAGAAATGAGTTCCATGCGGAGCAATGGAGTTTGGGACCTTGTTGAGTTGCCTAATGGGGCCAAGGCCATTGCCTGTAAATGGGTCTATAAGACTAAACAGGACTCACTAGGCAACATCGAGCGGTACAAGGCTAGGCTCGTTGCTAAAGGGTTTACTCAAAAAGAAGGAATCGAATACACGAGAATATTTTCTCCTGTATCAAAGAAAGATTCACTTTGTATAATTTTGGCTTTGGTTGCACATTTCAATCTTGAATTGAAACAAATGGATGTGAAAGCGGCATTCCTTAATGGTGATCTAGAAGAGGTGGTTTATATGAAACAACCTGAAGGATTCTCTTTTAGTGAAGGTGAGCATTTGGTTTGCAAGCTCAAAACGTCCATCTATGGTTTAAAACAAGCTTCCCGCCAATGGTATATCAAGTTTGACGGGGTCATTTCTTCATATGGATTTGTAGAAAGTCCCTTAGATCACTGCATATACCAGATGACAAGTAGGAGTAAAATTTGTTTTCTTGTTTTATATGTGGATGATATTCTACATGCAACAAATGATAAGGGAATGATGCACGAGGTTAAGCAATTCCTTTCTAAGAACTTTGATATGAAAGATATGGGCAAGGCATCTTGTGTCATTGGCATAAAGATCCATAGGGATAGATCCCGGGGTATGTATTCTGGGACTACCGCAGGATTGTTCACTAAGTCCAGCTCCTATTGTGAGAGGAGATAAATTCAGTTTGGACCAATGTCCAAAGAATAATTTTGAAAGAGAATCCATGAAGAATATTCCTTAAGCTCCAGTTGTCGGGTGCCTCGGGTATGTTCAAGTCTGTATTTGGCTGGACATCACCTTTGCTGTTGGAATGCTGGGACGATATCAAAGTGATCCAGGTTTAGACCACTAGGGAGCTGCAAAGAAGGTTTTAAGGTATCTCAAGGGTACTAAGGGATTATAAGCTTGTGTTCAAGCAGATGGACGTTTTGGACATTGTTGGATATTCTGATTCAGGCTTTGCTGGTTGTGTTGATTATCAGAAATCAACTTTGGGGAACATATATATTTATCATGGCCGGTGGAGCTGTTTCATGGAGAACTGTTAAACAAACTCTTGTCACCACTTCAACTATGGAAGCTGAGTTCGTTTCATGTTTTGAGACTACATCTCAAGGTGTATTGCTTAAGAATTTCATTTCAAGGCTTAAAATTATGGACTCTATTTCTAAGCCATTAAAGGTTTATTGTGACAACTTAGCTGCAGTCTTCATGGCTAAAAACAATAAGAGAGTGGGAGTCGAGGTAAACATATCGACACCAAGTACTTAGCTATCAGGGAGCGTGTTAAAGATAAGAAAGTAGTAATTGAGCATATAAGCACTAAGTTGATGATTGTTGATCCGTTAAGTAAAGGCATGCCACCATTCAAGTTTATGGATTTTGTTGAGAAAATGGGATTTCCGCCCACTTTGTAAAACTTGTATACTATACATTCAGTATATTTTTATGAAATTCTTAAAGTATTCAGATATTTTCTCGTTATTGTATTGTGTACATATTGTTGAGAAAATATATATCTTTTGGACCTGGAATAAACATAAGGTTTATCCATTATGTTTTTTGTTAAGCATATAAAGTACGTAGAGAACAAGTTGCATTGTGATTATAGTAGATACTACTCATATTAAGAGGACATATCTCTATAGTTAATGTATTTTGTTTCTTTAAGTTTGTTCTTGCACCAAGTGGGAGAATGTAACATTTTCCATTTATGGTGCAAGATTATTATGGCCTTAATGGCCATTAAGGGGTGCCAATTGTAACGGTTACCATTACAACCGTTACAAAGCCTATATTGATGGTTAATAGGCTATATAAGACTAGGTCCCCCCACTGCTCAGGTCACTGTCATTTTGACAAAACTATACACCTCTTTGAATCGGAGAACAAGTGAGAGACACTCTGCCCAAATTACTACAGCAAACAACTAAGGCATTCAACTACAAGGCAATTGAAAAGAACAACTATTGCCGGAGGTTAGTTTGTGTTTACTATTTGCTTACAGTACATACCTAGGATTTAGTGTTAGCAGGGTATAATGGCCATGCCGATCCACAACTATGTACAATTAGAGTAGTTAATGCCCCACTACAAGCCACTTTCCCCTACACCTTTGTATGCCATCCCGAACAGACACATGACATGCACTGGAATTACACGTTACGTTGTTTGTCTCATCGAAGTGTGCAACTGTATTTGCCAACGTGCGGGTTATTGCACGCACCCTACCGCCGCTCTACTGTGGGTTCTATACGTAGGAATAGAAATTGCTCACTTTTACATATCTCCAGTGGTTTAAGCGTTCCCTGTAGATGAACTCCTGCGTGCCTTTGCAAAGGCAAGGGGCTATGAGTTCTTCGTCTGCAGGTAATAGAAGAGTTAGGATAAAAGAAAACGATGTGTAACATATGGACTTAAGTATAGCAAATGCAATATGATATTCAATCAATTTATCAATCACTTCTTTTCTATTTTTTCAAGGCAGATTCTACAACAAACCGATGAACCATACTCCAAATTTGGCTCAACAATGATGATGAAGATCTTTAGGGATAACAATCATCCGAATGCCCGATCTTTTCCTCACAAAAACAACAAGAACTGCGGTTTGAGGAGATGGAGATGGAATTTGGCTGATGTAGAGTTTGGGAAGAAGATTTTTTTTTTTTTTTATAAGGATATTTCCACCACACCTTAGTCTTAGGTGATGAGGAATGGATGACACCACAAGATTGGTAATTATCTTGATAAGCCTAGAAGAACATCTCTCAACACACAAGAGAGACAACAAAATGCCTAAACATTTTTTTTTTTGGATTCAACTTCAATCATCTATCACCATCCCTCCTTGTGTTCAGCCTTTAAATATGCTAAAATACAACACTCTCAAGGAGATCAAAAGACTCCATTACAAGACAATGAATGACATTCATTTCTCCTAAACATGTAACCTAAAGTAAAGTAAATAAAGGAAATGAATAACATTAAAATTATATTAAACGAGGATTTATTTGCCTTAATGGCTTGAGTTCAACTTCATTCAATTTATCTCAAGCTAAGCCATGAAATTTGAAACATTTAGATTAGTTTCCCATTTTTTTTATTGCTAAAAGGTTGATCCATAAAGACCATCAGACAATGTACCGTATCCAACACAAGTTGTTTTATTAAAAATATTCAAACGCTTGTCTTGGAAATTAAAAGAGAAACCCAACGTCACAACTCTAGAGATTGAAATCAAGTTTCGGGAGAAACTTGGTACATAAAATGTCTTATTTAAAATCAAAACAAAGCCACTACTTAAAACTAGCTTGCATGTTCCAATGGCTTCCACTTGTGACCCCATCTTGTTTCCTGATAAGATGGTTCATTCACTTCCCACCGGCTTCCTTAGATCCTGCATTTCCTGTAAAGAGTTTGCAATGTGGATTGTTGAACCAGAATCAATCCAACAAGTATTAGTGTTAACTTCAGACATATTAGATTCATAACAAATGAATGAGGATAGAATACCTTTCTTCTCGATCCACTTTTTGAGTTTTTGTACTTGATGCAATCTTTCTTCATGTGTCCCTTCTTTTTACAGAAGAAACACTTATGCACCTTCTTTATGTCAGCTTGAGGTGAAAGTTTTCCTTTCCCCTTAGCCTTAGAAGTGGAACCTCGAGATTTTCCAGATCTAGACGTCTTGTGTGCCGTAGCTAGCATGACACTTTCTCCCATTTCCATCACCAACTGATACATTCATAAGGAAGACTTACCACAGGCGCAAACAACAAAGAAGCAACAAGAGGCAAGAAGAAACAGTAAGAAGCTAAGCATTTATATCAAGTCATGTTTTCCTGTTTAATTTCTTTCAATTTTAAAGTTGTTTTAAAGTTCCTAATTTTAGGGATATGAACGTTAAGTTAACGTTGGGTCTTAGGTATATATAGTTTTGGAAGTGCTGAAAATAAAGCATTGACTTTTGAACTTGGAAATTGTCTAATGACATTTGGGAGAGGAAGATCTCTAAAACCCTTCAATCTATTTCTTTTTTTTTTTTTCTTCTTGTTTCCTTCACTGTCTCTACAACCATAGGGAAATAAAGAGCATCCGTTCCCTCGGCTCGCCCAGTGACGCGTTCATATATTCCCGAACCCATAACAAATTTGGTATCAGAGCCCGACGCCTTGGGCGAGAACTTTGCATAATCTTTCAAGGCTCTCTAGGATACTGTTGCTATGTTGAAGGCAAATCAGGACGAGGATCGCGCTGCCATGAGGGCAGACCGCGATGCCGCGAGGGAAAACCAGGACGAAGTCCTCCAACTGCTTCGGCAGTTGCTAACGGGGAAGACCCCGGCCGCTGACGCCTCCAGTAGCCACGATGGGCCACCACCTCCGCCCCTGAATGATGCCGTGTCTGCCCACACTGCCCCCGCGATCACCACCGCGGCTCCTCAATTTGCCCGGCTGGAATTTCCTCGTTACGGTGGCCACGAAGATCCAACCGGATGGCTGCACCAATGCGAGCAATTCTTTCGCGCCCAGGGTACGCCGGCAGGAGAGTTCGTAAATATGGCTGCCTATCACTTGACTGGGGTGGCACAATTGTGGCACTTCCATTTGGAGATGGAGGAGCCGGCGATGTCGTGGCCCCAATTCAAGTCCCGATGTTTGATTCGTTTCGGCCTTGGCCTCTGCGGCAACGCACTGGGAAGTTTGGCAAAGCTCAACCAGAATAGCCGCTCGGTGGATGACTACAATGACGAATTCCAGACCATGTTCGTACGCGCTCCGCCGTTTCAGCCTGACCAGGAGGTCGATCTTTACACTGCCGGGTTGGACGAATGGTTGCGGATCGATGTCGAAACTGCACAGCCAGTGAACCTGGACGTGGCTATGAACCTCGCCCGGACTTACGCACGCCGGCAGCACTGTCTCTCCGGCCAACCGCCTCTTCAGCCGAACTGTTTCCCTTCTTCCCCTTTTGCAGGTGACTCATCGCGACCCGGTCAGTACACTGCGACGCGGCAACCCTAGCAACTCCGGCCGGCGACGTCTGCGGCAGGTTCGACCGGTAGCTCAGTTGCAAACCCTAGACCAGCGACCTCCCAGTCACGCATCACTGGAGCGATGCGTGGGGGACCCTCTGCTAGCCTGCCCCCTGAACGCCGCCTCTCCCGTCACGAATACCAGCGCCGGCGATCACAAGGCCTTTGCTTCCACTACGATGAACCTTGGTCTCCAGCGCACAACTGCCGCCATCTCTTTTTGTTGGTGATTGGCGAAGGCTCCGCTCCAGCGATCAACGAAGGGGCAGAGGACGTCGCGTGCGAAATGGAGAATCCAGAGATCTCCTTGCACGCGATCTCGGGAATTGGGAGCGGAAATATTATGGGTGTGAACTTGCGTTTAAATAATGCTCCTATCACAGCCCTAATTCACTCTGGCGGCACACACAGCTTTGTGGACTCTCGCACAACAAATAAATTTGGCTTGCCAACTCGAACGTGCCCGTATTTACAAGTAGCGGTCGCCAACGGATTACTGGACTTGGCATTTGCGACGACGTTTCTCTTAAGAAAGACAACCATTATTTCCCTGTTAATTTATTTGTTATTCCATTAGTATGCTTTGATATTGTATTTGGCGTAAATTGGTTGCGCACGTTAGGTGCGATTCTTTGGGATTTTACCGCGCTTACCATGACATTTATGTGTGGTGGCCAGCCCGTAACGTGGCAAGGGGAACTCGTTCCCCCCGTCCATTTGCTTAATGTCATACGGCCCCAGAATAGCATTAATAATGCTTTGGAGCATATTCTGACCGACTACTCTGATCTTTTTAAGGAGCATACGGCACTGCCACCTACTCGTCGGTGCAATCATTGCATCACATTAGTCACGGGCGCGGACCCGGTGGCCGTTCGGCCATACCGCTACCCCCAGGCACAGAAGGATGAAATTGAGCGTCAATGCCGTTCCATGTTGGAACTAGGCATTATTCGTCCTAGTTATTCACCATACTCTTCCCCGGTGTTGTTGGTGCTTAAACAGGATCGGTCATGGCGATTTTGTATTGACTATAGTCTATAGGGAATTAAACGCTAAAACTATAAAAGACAAGTTCCCGATCCCGGTGATCGATGAACTTCTGGATGAGTTGCATGGGACACGCTTCTTTACGAAATTGGACTTATAGTCTAGATATCATCAAATTCGCATGCACCCGGGGGATGTTCAAAAAACGGCTTTCCGAACACATCAGGGCCATTTTGAGTTATTGGTGATGCCTTTTGGCCTTTGCAATGCGCCGTCCACATTCCAGGCCCTCATGAATGAGGTTTTTCACTCCGTACTTCGTAAATTTGTTTTAGTTTTTTTTTACGATATTTTAATTTATAGCAGGTCTTGGGCAGAAGACATCTCACATGTCCGGACGGTGTTTGATCTTCTCCAGCGTCATCAACTGTTGGTCAAAAAATCAAAATGTTTTTTTTTTTGGCGTTGACAAGGTTTTTTACCTCGACCACATTATCGACGCCGCTAGTGTTTCTATGGACTCTAGCAAAGTCCAAACGGTCTTGGATTGGCCCCAGCCACAATCTGTTCGAGGGCTACGTGGTTTCCTTGGACTAGCCGGATTTTATCGCAAGTTTATAAAGAACTTTGGCATCATCGCTGCCACGTTGATGTCACTTCTCCGGAAACACAGCTTCGCGTGGTCACCCGAAGCGACGACAGCCTTTCAGGCTCTAAAGGTCGCACTTACCACGGCACCGGGGGTAGGGGTGGGTGCAGTTTTGCACCAAGATAACCACCTGGTGGGTTTCTTTAGTCGGAAGCTCGCCACTCGGCACCACAAACTGGCCTTATACGAACAAGAGTTGATTGGGCTCTCTTAAGCGATTCGGCATTGGCGACACTATTTGTGAGGTCGTCATTTCACGGTCCGCACCGATCACTATAGCCTGAAATTCCTGCTTCAACAATGCCTCACCACGTCCCTTCAGCCCCATTGGATTAGTAAACTTCTGGGGTATGACTTCGACGTAGAATTTCGTGTCGGTTGACTGAATACGGTTGCCGATGCCTTATCTCGGCGGGATGAGGATGCCCTTTCCCTAATGGCCTTATCCGCTCCGGTTTCTCCGCTGTTGGATTCTATTCGTCGTGAGCTTGCCGCTTCAGCCAACGCTCAAGCCTTACTGGGAACGATTCGTGATGGGGCCGAAGGGCCCCACTGGTCCTTAAACGGGGACCTAATTCAATACAAGGGTAAGTTATATATTCTTCCGAATTCTCCTCTAATACCCGTTATTATTGCAGGCTTTAACGACATTTCGCACGAAGGAGCCCAGAAGATGATTTTTCGTGTGTCCCGGGAGTTCTTTTGGACGGGAATGCGCAGAGCCATTCGCGAGTTCGTGAGGAAGTGCCCTACCTGTCAGCATTGTAAGTGGGAAAACCTCCAACCGGCAGGCCTCCTCCAGCCTCTGCTTATCCAGTCATTTATCTGGAGCGACATTTCGCTGGACTTCATTAAAGGCCTACCAAAAGTTCACGGCAAGTCATTGATTATTTCGGTCGTCGACCGTCTGTCCAAATACGCCCATTTCATTCCTCTAGGCCACCCTTATACGGCGACCTCGATTGCAGGCATATTTTTTACACACATCATCAAACTCCATGGCATCACGAGTGCTTTTTGGAAGGAGTTGTTTCGTTTCAGCGGGACTACTCTCTGCTTTTCTTCTTCTTATCATCCGCAGACGAATGGACAGACAGAAGTCACCAACCGCACAATTGCTATGTACCTACGCTACCTGGTATGTGACTGCCCTAGACGGTGGGTTGATTGCCTTCCCTAGGCCGAATACTGTTACAACACGGCGTTCCACTCGGCTTTGCAGACTTCGCCCTTCCGCGTGGTTTACGACCGCGACCCTCCACATCTATTGTCCTACGAACCGGGGGTGGTTAAACTTGAAGAAGTGGATGTCGCACTGCAGGACCGTGATGCGTTTCTCGCCTTGGTTCGGGACCAACTTAAGGCTGCTCAAGTACGTATTGCGAAGTTTTACAACCGCTCACACCGCGACGTTGATTATGATGTTGGGTAGTGGGTTTGGCTTTGCCTATATCCCTACCGTCAGCTCTCGGTCAACCGCCGAGTGTTCCACAAGCTCTCGCCGAAGTTTTTTTGTCCATTTCGCGTACTCAAGTGCGTGGGGGATGTCGCATACCAGTTCGCTCTGCCTTCCTCTAGTCGGATTCACGACGTGTTCCATGTCTCCTTGTTGAAGCCCTATCAGGGGGAATCGCCGGAAGTTATCCCGGCACTGCCCCCGTTACGCGATGGTCGAGTTTTGCTTCAACCCCACCTCGTGTCCAGATCTCGGCTGAATCGCGGCGTTAAGGAAGTTCTAGTCCATTGGCTTGGCGCCGGTACGGAAGATGCTTCTTGGGAGCCATTAGACCACTTTCGGTCGTTATTTCCAGACTTCAAGCTTACGGACAAGCTTGTTGACTTGGAGGGGTCTGATGATACATTCATAGGGAAGACTTACCACAGGCGCAAACAACAAAGAAGCAACAAGAGGCAAGAAGAAACAATCAGAAGCTAAGCATTTATATCAGTCATGTTTTCCTGTTTAATTTCTATCAGTTTTAAAGTTGTTTTAAAGTTCCTAATTTTGGGGATATGAACGTTAAGTTAACGTTGGGTCTTAGGTATATATAGTTTTGGAAGTGCTGAAAAAAAGGCATTGAATTTTGAACTTGGAAATTGTCTAATGACATTTGGAAGAGGAAGATCTCTAAAACTCTTCAATCAATTTCTTTTTTTTTTTGTTTCCTTCGTTGTCTCTACAACCAGAGGGAAATCAAGAGCATCCGTTCCCTCGGCTCGTCCAGTGACGCGTTCAATTTTTGATGGGCGAAGAAATGTTACAACCATAGTGTTGTTACAATTATTATTATTATTGTTATTATTATTGTTATTATTATTGTTATTATTATTATTATTATTATTATTATTACTATTATTATTTCTATTATTATTACTATTATTATTACTATTATTATTACTATTATTATTACTATTATTATTACTATTATTATTACTATTATTATTACTATTATTATTACTATTATTATTACTATTATTATTACTATTATTATTATTATTATTATTATTATTATTATTATTATTATTATTATTATTATTATTATTATTATTATTATTATTATTATTATTATTATTATTATTATTATTATTATTATTGTAGTGGAATAGTCACTTTCTTAGGTAGTTACAACCACTTAGGTAGTGGGTAGTGGGTAGTTTTATATTATTATGTATAAATAGCTACCTATGTAATTGAAGAAGGGGACTTTGGAAAATTCAGAATATTTGACTTTCTATTAAGGGAAGATTGGAGAGAAGAAGCACTCCAGAAACGCTTCATTTGTGTTCTTAAGTTCCTAGGCCTGTGACGCGATCCTAATATCCCGGTCCATAACATTGCCCATAACACCAACCTTCCTTCTTCGTGAACACACATGGTCATTAAATCATTTATGGACCACTTTTCCTTATGCGTGTTATAAGAAATTTAAAAGGGTACATATGGTGATGGTAGGGTGTACAAAGCATAGTACACGACAAAGTCATCTGATATATCTACCCCAAGAGTCTTAAGTTGAGCCACAATGTCCCGCAATTCCATGATGTGCTCAAGCACACCTTTGACGGAAGTGAGACGGAGAGAGGAGAATCTCATGAAGAGGGTGCTTGTTAAAGCCTTTTCTGAAGTGACGAACTGGTCATCAATGGACTTGAGCAATGCTCGGAAATCCTTATGCTTTTCATTAACAGAACCCCGAATTGAATCGCATTGGAAATTTTCGCCTTGATGTACATTGTACTGAGCCGATTGGACATATCCCATCGCTCATATAGTGCAATGTGATCATGGGTATTGTCTTTAGTGGGGACCGGTGGTTTCTCGTTATGGATAGCAAAGTCCAAGTCCTTCCACCCTAAATTGAGAAGAATCCTTTCTTTCCAAATTTTGTAGTTGTCACCCCTAAGTTCTAAAACTTCCATGTTCAAGTCAGTGTGAGTAACAGATTGAGATGTTGTAATGGTAAAAGGTTTGGATTAGAATTTTGAGGCACAGAAAGAACTGAATCACATACATTACCAATGTAAATTCTGAATGTCAAAGATCCAAATGCATAAAAATTGCTTGTGGGCTAAATTTTTACGCAAAATGGACTTTAGAAAACTTTAGAATAGAAATGAGATGTGTACAAGGTTGAATTTCTATTCTCAATAATAAAAACTACCAAAGACTATATGCCAACACATAATTGCCTGTGAGCTAAATTAGGGTCATATTTTGGTATTTTTATCCTGATTAATCATATAAATATAATAAAATAGCATGTGGGCTAAATTTCATTATATTACATATAATTAATCACAATTTATGCCTAAACTTTATGTGATTTGGAAAGGCTTGATATACAATTTTAATTAAATTAAGGATGATGTGGCTACTCCTTAATTAACTAAAATTGTATTATCACATCGGCATAGATTTATGAAAAGCAAAACAAATTATGCAGTCAACATGATATGCAATTCCCAGGTATACTCCAAGGAAAGTTGGGCGAGATGAAACTCAGTTAAATACCAACTCCTTATACAAAGTAGGATTCCAAGGGAACTAGTAGCATATCGGCTATTCTAGTTTTCTTCCCAAGAAACTTTCCCTGGTTCTTGCATTCTCATATCATAGCATAATTGTTTTGAAGGGTTTATTCAAAACTTTGATGTTCACGGTTTGAAAAAGGGCTTTAAGGGACTTTAATGATAGGTGAACTTTTTGATCATAATGTGCTATTTTTCAGGCACTACCGTACTGGTACTAAACCTTATGTACTACTATAACCGCAATATGCCAAAGTCCAATATTCTAAGGAATTTAAATAATTCCTAAAATATGCTTTTCTAAGACATAAAAAATAAATTGCATAATCAAAACATACATTATGCTTATTGGGCATAACATGCATATTCCTAATACATAAACTCATATTAAACAAATAAATTGCACAAATATTATAGCAATTTAAAACACATGAGCATACTAAATAATAAAATTCAAATTCAAATTATAATTTGAATAAAATTTTTATTAAAGACAATATAAACAATGCAAATTGCAGGCCCAAAATAATTTATACAAATATATAATATATAATTATATATAAAAAAAAAACAAAAGATTAGTAAAAACACAGGCCCAAAATATATATTTTTTAATTTATAGAATGGGCCAGGCCCACTTTCCAGACACAACCCATCTATCCCCTTAACAAGTTAAGGGCTTCAGTTTAAATGAACAAAAATAAAAACCTAGCTGCAACAAAAAAATATAATAAAAAAATAAAAGGAACCTGGCAGCGTAGATTGGAGAGGGAGAACGCGAAGAAGTCCTCACTTAGCCATGGCCGACGGAGAGAGAGACATCGCCGGAAGAGGATTTGGCCGAAGCCGAGGCCCAACACCGCCACCACTCCCGTCGCCGACGCCATCTACTGTCCCCATCGCCGATGACCCTGCTTCGCCGTCGCCATCTCTGATCGACAAAACGAAGCCCAAATTCAATAAAATGTTACATGTACAACACCTTCTATCTATAAATCCTTTATAGATGGAGATATTTGATGACTTCAAATACATTGCACATAGCTTATTTCATTTGTATGGTTTTTTGTGTTTTGGATACCATTGTATTAGGACTCTATGTAGATGAGTCTGTTTAGAACTTCTTATCCTTGTCACACTGTGACTCTCTACTTCTTATCATTGTCACACTGTGACTCTCTATTCTATATATTCACATCATCTGATCTCATTGTAATTAAGTTCAGTAAATACAATACAATCAGTTCTCATCTGGTATCAGTAAGCTAGGGTTTTTTCTTTGTCTCTCGTCCCTATAGCTGACGGATCTGTTAATTCCTCTGAACGGACCGTGTCTGATGCTGCTATGTCGTCAAGTTCGTCGTCAATTGTGTCGCTATCCACCACACATCACTTCATCAGTACGAAGTTAACCTACAAGAATTATTTGTTCTGTCCTACGCAAGTCGTCCCGTTTCTTCACGGGCATGACCTAATGGGGTTTGTTTATGGTACGAAACCCTCACCGGCTGTTCTTCTTGCTGTCGACGCCGACACCGCCGACGCCATGCCACGGCCGAACCTCGCCTATGCCGTTTGGATGCGTCAAGATCAAGCATTGTTGTCCATGCTTGTCTCCTCCCTCTCCGACGAGGTCATGCCAATCGCCGTCGGACGTCGCACGAGTCGTGCCCTTTGGGAGGCCATTGTTCAGACGTTGTCGTCTTCCTCCCGCGCCCGCGCGTTAAACCTTCTCGGCCAGTTGCAGGGACTGGACCAGGGTGATTCGTCGGTTGCGGATTACATTGGGCGAGCTCAGGTGATTGTTGAAGAGCTCACCCTCGCCGATCAGAATCTCTTTGTTTTTCGCGGCTTGAGACCGGAATTCCGTGCCCTCACCGCGTCTCTTGCCGTCCGTGGGCAGCCGGTCACGCTCCAGGAGTTGGCGGACTTCCTCGGCGCCCAGGAATTTATCGCCAGTCGTGATTACGGCGGTGCTCCGGCGGCTCTTGCTGTTCAGCGCGGTGGCGGCCGATCAGGTCGCGGAGGTCAGAACCGTGGCGGCGGTCAACGAGCAGGCGGTGGCAACGGCGGGTCCAATCGTGGTGGTGGCGGTAGACAGCAAGGTGGCCGTGGGCGTGGTGGCCGCGGTCGCGGATGCAACAGTGGTGGCAATCAAGTTCAGTGCCAGATATGTAGGCAGACTGGTCACGAGGTTCATGTATGTTATAACCGGTATGATTCCCCACCTCAGGCCAATCTAACATATCAAGATAATTCAGATGTTGGTACTCCTCAGACATGGATCCCAGATACAGGGGCAACTAATCATGTTACTCCGGACATTGCTGCTTTGACCACCTCAAAAGAATATGTTGGCAATGACACCTTGCGTGTCGGTGACGGTATGGGTTTATCTATTAGTCATGTTGTACATGCTTCTTTTAATACCCCTTATAGATCATTCACATTGTCTGATATACTTCACGTTCCACGTTTGTCTAATTCTTTATTATCTGTTCAGAAGTTTGCATCCGATAATAAAGTCTTTTTTGAGTTTCACCCCTCTTTTTTTGTTGTGAAGGATATCAATACCAAGGAAATACTTCTTCGGGGCAATAATTCTGGGGGACTATACACACTTCCATTACCTAGTTCGTCTCCGTCAACGTTTCTTTCCGCTCGTGCCTCGACTTCCACTTGGCACAATCGTCTGGGTCATCCTCATAACCGTGTTCTTAGCCATATACTTCGATCTTGTTTAGTTAGTGGATCTCGTGATAATATTCGTTGCACTAATTCTTTATGCAATGCGTGTCAATTAGGCAAATCTGCCCGTTTTCCCCTCCCTCGTGTTGCTTCCTCTACTTCTCATGTACTGGATCTTATTTACACAGACATTTGGGGTCCTGCGCCCACTTTATCTACATCTGGCTTCCGTTACTTTGTGATCTTTGTGGATGACTATTCCCGTTATACATGGTTCTTCCCTATGAAATTAAAGTCTGATCTCTATGTCATCTTTGATAAATTTCGTACTCTTGTTGAACGGTCCTTTAATTGCAAAATAAAGGCCATTCAGTCTGATTTAGGTGCTGAGTACAAAAAGTTGCATTCTTCGTTTGTTCAATTAGGAATTCAACATAGACAATCATGTGCCTATACACATGAACAGAATGGTCGTGTTGAACAAAAACATCGTCACATTGTTGAAACTGGTCTGGCTCTTCTAGCTCATGCCACTGTTCCTTTGAAATTTTGGGATTTTGCCTTTGAGACCGCTGTCTATTTAATTAACAGAATGCCATCTTCTATATTAAATAACTCCAGTCCTCATCTCCTGTTACATAAATCCCCTCCTTCCTATCTTTTTCTTCGTGTCTTTGGGTGTTTATGCTACCCTCATCTTCGACCATATAATCGTCATAAGATGTCATACAGGTCTTCTCCATGTGTCTTCCTAGGTTATCATGAGTCATTTAGGAGGTACAGATGCATGGACTTACATACTAATAAGATTTACACATGCAGGCATGTCAGATTTGATGAAGAAGTTTTTCCCTTTGCTACTAAAACTTCTTTGCAGGATCTATCTACCCCGTTTTCTGGACCTTGGGCGGAATCTGTTCTCAGTCACAGCACACCTATTCCTGTCGTGTCCAATGGTGAACCGCCGCTACCTATTTCATTCGAACCAGCCGTGGATCCCGGACAGGCTGCCTCGTCGGGTGATCCTGTAGAGCCTGTTGCTCGCCGGCGAGGCCGTCCACGTGGGCGGTCCATCAGGCCCAATGTCCGTACTCACTCTATGGCCACTCGCAGCAACGCAGATGCTCATCTTTTTGCTCTAGCAGCTCAGGTGCATCCCACGGAACCCACATGTCACTCTCAAGCTGTCAAATATCCCGAGTGTCGTGAAGCCATGGACCAAGAATTCAATGCTCTCCTGCATAACGACACATGGTCTCTAGTTCCACCCACTGCAGGTATGAATATTATTGGCTGTAAATGGGTGTTTCGTACGA